AAAGAAGTTAAAGAACCTGGTCAACACCAGAGGGAAGAGGTTGAGCAACAAAGGTAGGGATCTCATCCATAAGCCCATCAGGTCGACCCGAATGCAAGATCCGGGTAAACCCACCCATATCCGACCCTGGCTCGTCTCTAAACCTGTTATACCAATAATACATGACCCGACACTGCCATGTGCTGTACACCGAGTCCGTGGCCGTCACCGCCGTGTGAAACAGTCTCTTTGACTTCTTGGACCGAGTCTTGACGGTATACACGACTTCATCATCGCCGGATCGACGACCGGGGAGATCTTGTCGGAGAGGAGGATCATCTGAGACTATGTAGTTGTATCTTATTATTAGAAATAGTGATAGAGTCATAAGAATAGGGAAGAAGAACTTCCCACGGAATCCCATTTTCTATTTTTCTTTGTGTAACAAAAAACTTAGTCATATGGCGAGAGAGAGCAAGAAGACATAAAGACATAACTCATAAGACAGTTTCAAGTTGTAATAAAAATATAAAAGTCGTCGCTCATCTTTGTGTAATTGAGAAATGATTCAAGAGTAGTAGTTAGAATGTGGCTGGTCCTACAACGTTCTGGTCTTCGTTTTATTTTTATTTAAATTGTTAATTATTACGGTTTGTTTTGTTCTATATGATTCAAACTTATTGGTTTTGTCGAGGAATAATATTTTCATAAACCACAAAAGTAGGGTTTGGGTTTAGGAAGAAAGATGGGTAATATTACTATTACAAAATCTTGGTGTTGGAATGTACAAGCCCAAGTAGGTATGGGTGCATGTTGATCCGGTTGAGAATGAATAACATTGGTGATGGTTTGATTGATTTTCTTGGGAGGATTCGAAGAAAATAAGAGTTTGCTAGAGATTTGTGAATTGTGAGCATAAAAATATAAATCACTTCATTTTTCTAATTTGACTCATTAGCAAGCTTTTATGAATCTTCAAACTTGGCACCTAGCAAAAGTATCCAATAAATTGTGCCTTGTATTACTCTTGTTTAGTGGGCTAATTTTGCCTTGATGTATCTAGTGACAATATTTGACACCAATAGACCCTTCCGATTCCTAAATTAAAATTGTTTTTAAACAGAAATTATAGGTCATTCAACACCGAATCACTGCGACAATGATCGACAAAAAAAAAAAAGATACAAGAGAAATTAAGCGAGATTTGGGAAAGTTGAGTGGTATGTATGAAATTGTGTTTTATGGAGATCTTTGCATTTTAGAATATTTATCTAATAAATGTATCATATGAGAACATATTATTTAAATTCATATAGTTAAAACTTAAAAGTGTTGGATATTTAAATGTTAATTAAAAATGGTTATTTATTAACCAACACAACTCTTGAGTGTATGGTTATTTGATTAACCAACACAACTCTTGAGTGAATGATTATTATCAAACGAACGGTTGCAAACCTTTGTTACACCCATTGACCATTATAATACTCTGACTTGTTGTATAAAAAAATGCAGAGAAAAAAGTGAGAAAGAGGAAAGAAACCCAAGACCAAAGGTTAAAAAAACTTTGGTTTAAACAAAAAAAAAAACAAAACATAAAACTCTATTTGTTTCTCTTGTATCTTAACCTAGAACAAAATATGAAACTTTGATTGTCGTATCTTGCGAGGGATTTCGTGTAACCCTAAACTAAATAAGGGTCTAAAATACTCTTTAAGAAAAGTGATTCCGAGTACGATTCAATCATTATCCAAATTCACCTTACGTTGCAATCCCGGAAATACACCATATTTACAACAAAAAAGTAATATATTAAATTAGGAATCAATAGTTTTGTTTAATGTTTAACTTGGGAGAATCTTGAGATTTTTCAATGTTAGTATTGCAGCATCATTATTAGCGAACAAAAGAGGCCGAAATAGAGAAAACTCCTACGTATTATGTAACCTCTAGAAGAACATGTTGTAAGACATGCTTCAAAGCTTGTACATATCTCCCCTTCGAATTTTCTTTATCATAAAAATATTTTTACTTTTTAAAAATTGAATTTGAGTATGTATAATGTTTATTTTTTCATCTAGTAAATATATATCATATTATTTAGAAAATAGAAAGTTAAACTATTATTAAAATATTTTAAATATTTATATAGTTAAGCATTTCATCATCAAATCAGAATAAGTTTTGCAGCATTACCTGCACACAAATCCTGTGAACTGAACTTTAAACCTAAAATAAAGGCATCGAAATGTTTGACCAATGGGAAAAAAACCTTTCACATATTAAGATATCTTATATCTTATCTTATTTTATAAACCTTGATTTTCAAAGTCAGCCATTAACAAGATCGTGATACGTGTCAATTATAAATGATAAGATATTGACACGTGTCGTAACTGATTTTGTTAATATTTGGATAAAATAGAAATATTATTAACCCTATCGAAAAAGGAATATATAAAATAAATATTATAAAGAAATATATATTAAAAATTATTAATAAAATTAAACAAATAATCTAATTTCAGTTATGTCAATTTGGTTTATTAATAAGATAGGGATTTAAAATTTGTAATTAACAAGAATATATGGCGGTTTTTGTTTACAGAAGAGGATTAAGCTTTAAACTTTAATTTTACAATTAAATCAGGTTATTTGTTGGTTTGGGTATATAAATGATAAATAAGAATTATGGTTTATCTTTATAAATTGAAATTATGGTTTAAGTTTAACAAATAAACGAGATTATATGTCGAAACTTGGTTTTTAAATTTACTAACTCACGTGATCATGATAAATGTCAAGTAAAAACATAAGATGTCGCAACACGTTATATCTAATTTTGTTAATATTAAGATACAAATATATTTTTTAAACAACATTAAAAAATAATTATAAAAAATTAAAGAGAATTTTTGAGAAATACCCCTTTTTGTGTACCCTTTTCAAATATACCTCCTGTATCTATCCATTTTCAAAAATCCATGTTTAAATATGAAAAATTGTAAAGTTTTATATAATTTATAAGGTACTTATATATAATAACTACTACGTGGAAATTTGATACAAATATTTTATAATATTTTAAAAGATTTAAATCGTTTTTACAAGTTTTATAAGGTTTTTAAGTGGTTTTTAAAAGAGTTTATAAGGTTTTTAAAAGAGAATTTTTGAGAAATAAACAAGGTTTTACAAGATTGAGTTTATAAGAATTTTTTAAAAGATTGAGTTTATAAGAATTTTTAAAAGAGTATTAAAGAGGAGTGAGATTTAGGTTTTACAATTAAACAAGGTTATTTCTCAGTTTGGGTTTTTAAAGGAGAATTAGGATTCACAGTTTACAAATAAATTAGATTTTGAGTTTAACAAAATACATAATTTTATTCATGATTTTTATTTATAATATGTTATATTTGTTTAATTTTTAATTTATGTATGAATGTATTATGCCATTGAGCAATTTCATTGTCTAAAGCATAAGGGTGAATAAAAGATTTTCGAAAATAATATTTTTAGCTTAAATTAAAGATAACAAAGTTCAATAAAAATCGTAATATAGTAATTTTAAAACATTTTTAAAGAAAATATGTAGTTTTTTATAATTCGTATTTGAAAGATTTTTTAATGTTTTCCTCAACGATGCTATAATTTATTTTAGAATCTTTATGTTTATTTGCGTTGTTTATATGGATTTATTTACAAATGACTATATTTGTATTATATAAATATAAAATTTGTTATTAAACGTTAATTATAAAAATCTAGTAATGTCAAACTGACAATCACCAAAACATTTGGGAGCTATTTGGGAGCTATTCACCATTACTCATTTATATTGCTAATATATATATATATATATACACACGTTTATTTGATACTTCAAACCAAATAAAATATCTTTCCAAATGAAATTAATTTCTCTTCTTTTTTTCCAAAAATAATTTAGAAATTATTTTTTATAAGTTATAATAAATTTTAATTTTAATTCAATTTTAAATAAAGTTTAGCTAAACTTCCCTATTTATATTTATAATTAATAATTAATTTATGAATTACATGAGAGATTCTAAAGTATTTGTTTAATATTCCCACAAAAAAAAGAAAGTATTTGTTTAATATTCGATTTTGGAGGAGTTAGTTTGGATATTGTTTGTTTCTATCTCGCTAGGTAGGGTTTTGCTTTTAATCTGCGGACTTGCTTATGAGTTATGACAATGATTAAGTTGTTTGTCTCCTGAGATTCTCATATTATCCCCTCGTATATATATATATGTCACCTATGATAACTCATCATATATATATTATGAAAATAATAATAACATAATATCATTATATATTATTATATATATTACTAGGTATTTCCCATTACACAATATACAAAATTATTACCTTGGAAACTATGATAAAAATTAACATATGCATAAGCAAGTGCTGAGCATATTTTGGTCACAACAAATTTTAACACTTAGATCAAGAAGTCCCACATATAAGGTAAGCCATCAAAACTTGTATCTCCCATAATTGAAACTAAGCAAAACAAAACAATAATATTGCCTTGAAATGATATACAAGTTACTTATTTACTAAAATAGAAATTAGGGTTCTCTTTCCTTTATTCCATAACTAAATTAATAAAGATATATATAAAAATACTAAAGTAAGATGATTTTTAATATTTAAACTATAAACTACATTATAAAATACTAGATTAGAGCGCGTAAATACGCGGATATAAAATATATATTAATTTACTTAAATTACATATTAATTTTATAGTTTATATCTAATCATTTCTATATAGAACCCCAAACTTATAATTTATGCACTTGAAATACACTAAATAAATTAAGAGAATTATCTTAAATACACTTAAATTTAATTTTAAATTAAGCTGCAATAAATACTCAATTTATATATATATATATATATATTGCAGCATAACAAAATTAAATTTTAATTATATGCACTCTAATATAATCCATAAAGAGAATTTGTTAGTAATGCTCTTTTTGTGCTACTCCTTTTTTAAAAAATCATATTTTCTGTCCATTTTTAGTTATACCTCTCTTAAAATTTCATTTACACTTTACCCTAATTGACTAATACAACAATAGCTAACCTAATAATCGCTGTTCTTATGGTTGATTTGTCTTCACCCGCTCCCCTTTGCCAAGCTATCACCGTTGTAATTGTCGTCGGAGCTGTCGCAGTCGCCGGAACTGTCGCATTCGCCAGAGCCGTCGCAGTCGCATTCCACCCACCCGTTTCCTTAACTGGTTGCAAGGCGACTGTAAACTATATATTATTCTCCTTTTTCTTAAGCCTTCTCAACATCATATAGTGGAATAACTTCCCCGAGAATACGATTCTTTTGATGTCAGTTTGATGATATGACCGAAGAAAGAATCTTCAAGTTTCCTGAACGATTCTTCTCCCAATACAGCTTTAACTCTTCGAACCAAACTAAGACCTGAATGTTGAATTATAATAGCTCTAGTGTTTGGTTAAAAAAAACTTCATAAATACCTCTTGGTAGAAGAAGGACGTCAGATTCACTGTCACCCATCTGCTCCATAAGTAATAATTGGTCAGTGCATTCAGTTATAAAACATCATATAAATGTCTAGGCTAACAGTCATCAACATCAAAACACAACACCCAAAATGTTTAAAAAACTTTTTAAAATGCTTTTAAAATGCATGTGAAAAATTATAGAAGTCAATGACACTGGTGAGCTACATAACCCCAAATATACCCTTCAGAGTCCAACATTTTTGTTCTTGTAACACTTGTTAAATCCTTCACAAACCCCAATCCTTCACAAACTTCACAAACCCCGATTCCCAATTGTCAAATTCACAAGACCATATGAATCAAACAAAACCCTAAATTGTCAAATTCCCAACTTTAGTTACAATATCGATGTCCAACATCAAAACAAGAACACTAAATTGTAAAACCCCAAACAAAAACACTAAAAGTCTACACAATTTAGAACTCTAATTCAAACTCAAATTCGAATACAAACGCTAAAATTAAGACAAATCCGAACTCAAAATGATGATATCACTTACCTGAACAAGAACCAGACAATAAATCTGAAATTTCCAAATCAAATCGATAGTGACGATGACATGGACGACCACTACTCAAAACGACAGCGACGATGATGATGACGATGACGACAAAGATTTGATGAAGAAGACACCAACGAGATTTCTCTGAAACGATGGCGAGAGTTTGACGGCTGATTTTGGTTCCAAATCAAAATAAATTAGGTTAGTATTTGAAGGGTACACTTGCTTTTTTTCCCAAAAATGGGAGTATTTGTATAATTGGTCTCCCTTGTGGGGTATTTTTAAAATTGTCCCATGGATAAAAGTTATAGTTTTCATACTGAAATAATACGTGCATTACATCAAACTTATATTTTACTACTACTCGGTTGCCCGTTCTACGCGCGGGAGTTTATTATGTTGTTTATGAGTAATTAGTTCATATTTTATTTTCTACTTATTTTTTTCACTATACCATACTTTACTTTTTAAAACTTAAATTGTGTTTGTATAGAAAAACTATTGAGTTTTAGCTTCATTAGTTGTAGAGAAATTAAGTGTGTATAGTATAAGTCGAAGTGTGGGCGTAAATGGAAGTGCGGTTGAGAATCATTGAGAACATGTGCTATTAGGGTTTTTACCAAATATAGATCTAGATGTTAATATTTTGGGCCCTTTTATATGTTGGCATGATATTTGAACATGATTTGTGGGTTTCGGGGGGGGGGGGGGGGAGTTGGTTATATTTTTAATTGTTTACATTATCTCTTTATATATTGTCATAATTTATTA